ATTTAGCTTTAACTATAGTTTATGAAGTCGCTCTAAATTTGAAAATAAAAATATCGCTTATATTCAAGGATTATGGAATAGAAGGGAAACACAACTGACGCGGCCCGCCCTTCCATATTATACATGTTTTGAAGACAGTACTCCATTTGTATAATAAATATTCAGAATAGGTTATTGTATACGCGGTAATTGTACATCAGACAAATATTTCTTATTCAAATGAAGTACCGTCTGCAAAGCATGTATAATCATATGGTAGGGCGGGCCGCGTCAGTTGTATCTCCCTTATATTTTATACTATTGGTTTTATTCAACAAAAAATCTCTTTTTTTGGTAGCAATACATGGATGATCGTTACAACTTTGCATTTGTTTAAGTTTGACCGTTCATGAACCAATGTTTAGTCCATGGTAATTGTTCCAGGAAGACATTCTTATTCCATGGTTTGTGCAATCTGCAAAACCAGTTTATTGATTTTATATTCTTTGTAATTAATTCACGTTACATTTAGTACAAAATCTGACAAAAAATTATAAAGTTCAGGCATTGTTTCTTTTCTTTTGCAACTCCCCCCCGCTCCCATACTCTCCTGATTCCACCTTCTTCCTTTTTCACTCCTTTCCCCGTCCTATCCTTCCCCCTCTTTCCCCCTTGGCCCTTCTTCGTCCTTCCCCTCCCCTTCCCTCCCCTTCNTGTTCCTGGGTATATTGCAGTTCCTCTCTAGGTTTTGCAGGGTGTAATGCAGTTCATCTGTGGGTTCCTGGGTATACTTCAGTCCATCTCTAGGTTCCTGGGTATACTTCAGTCCATCTCTAGGTTCCTGGGTATATTGCAATCCATCTCTAGGTTCCTGGGTATACTGCAGTCCAAGTCTAGGCTCCTGGGTATACTGTAGTTCATCTCAACTAGTCAATCCTTTTCCCGTCATTCAATACTCTTCAAGAGAGTAAAGTACGGTTTTCTAATTTTTCTTTTATGTTTTATTTGTTTTGACAATATTCATTTTGAAAAATTCCTTATTACATAAAAAGAATTTTTATTTTTGTTCTCTTCTTTGTTTACTTTAGTTGCTGTGTTTGTATTATTTACTTTTATTTTTTGCTTATATATTATAGGACAAACTCCTGATGATACATGTTCACAATTAATTTAGAAGATGGGCGCGAAGCGCCCTCTAAGGCTAGTTATTAATATTTGCACAGTGAAGAAAATGTATTTTCTATTCTTGTAATTAGTTTTATCAATATTGCTAGGAAGAGTTTCACTTCGAGATTTACCGTTTTTTTTAACCGTTTTGAAACCAGTATTTATGAGTATATATGTGTGCTGTGTTTAAACCTATTTTCGGCCCTGAGGCTCTAACCCATCAGATTTCTAGCTGTAAATTATAAAACAGGCGTTGGGATTTCCCTGACCAGATATACAGTTATAATCCTTAATTTAGGTCCCTTGATATCCTGGACACATGTCCTTTCATATCCTGGATATAGTTTCCTGTATATCCTGGATACAGGTTCCTTGATATCCTGGACACATGTCCGTTCATATCCTGGATATAGTTTCCTATATATCCTGGATATAGGTCCCTTGATATCCTGGACACATGTACTTTCATATCCTGGATATAGTTTACTGTATATACTGGATACAGGTCCCTTGATATCCTGGACACATGTCCTTGATATCCTGGATATAGTTTCCTATATATCCTGGATACAGGTTCCTTTATATCCTTGAGAAATGTCAGGTCCAGTATATCCTGGATACATGTCCCTGTATATCATAGATACAAGTCCCTGTATATCCTGGATACAGGTTCTGAATATCCTGGATTCAAGTCCTGTATATCCTGGATACAGGTTCCTTGATATCCTGGACACATGTCCGTTCATATCCTGGATATAGTTTCCTATATATCCTGGATATAGGTCCCTTGATATCCTGGACACATGTACTTTCATATCCTGGATATAGTTTACTGTATATACTGGATACAGGTCCCTTGATATCCTGGACACATGTCCTTGATATCCTGGATATAGTTTCCTATATATCCTGGATACAGGTTCCTTTATATCCTTGAGAAATGTCAGGTCCAGTATATCCTGGATACATGTCCCTGTATATCATAGATACAAGTCCCTGTATATCCTGGATACAGGTTCTGTATATCCTGGATACAAGTCCTGTATATCCTGGATACAGGTTCTGTATATCCTGGATACAGGTCCCTGTATATCCCGGATATAGGTCCCTGTATATCATAGATACAAGTCCTTGTATATCATAGATACAAGTCACTGTATATCCTGGATACAGGTCCCTGTATATCCTAGATACAGGTCCCTGTATATCATAGATACAAGTCCCAGTATATTCTGGATACAGGCCCCAGTATATTTTAGGAGCTAGAACATACCATGAACTATTATCTAGGAATAAGGATGATCAAGATATTGAGATCTAGGGAACCTAATATTTAGCATCTGTAATGTGAATTGTAGAATAATTACAAATATAGACAATGACATGAACATCGTAGTTTCTGGTTTTACATAATTCTTGACACGTCCTTGTTCCAGGGTATACTGTAGTCTGTAGACCATCTCTAGGGTCCAGGGTATACCGTAGACCATCTCTAGGGTCTAGGGTATACCGTAGGGTCCAGGCCCCAGGGAATACTTTAGACCATCCCCCGGTTCCAGGCTATACTGCAGACCATCTCTATGTTGTAGGGTAACTTTAGACCATCTCTAGAGTCCATGGAATACTGTAGACCATCCCTAGGGCTTAAGGCTTACTGTAGACCATCTTTAAGTTCCAGGGAGTACTCTAGGCCATCTCTAGGTTCCAGGGTATACTTTAGACCATATCTGGGTTCCAGGGTATACTTCACTCCATCTCTAGGTTCCTGGGTAAACTGCAGTTCATCTCTATGTTCCTGGGTAAACTGCAGTTCATCTCTATGTTCCTGGGTATATTGCAGTTCCTCTCTAGGTTTTGCAGGGTGTAATGCAGTTCATCTGTGGGTTCCTGGGTATACTTCAGTCCATCTCTAGGTTCCTGGGTATACTTCAGTCCATCTCTAGGTTCCTGGGTATATTGCAATCCATCTCTAGGTTCCTGGGTATACTGCAGTCCAAGTCTAGGCTCCTGGGTATACTGTAGTTCATCTCAACTAGTCAATCCTTTTCCCGTCATTCAATACTCTTCAAGAGAGTAAAGTACGGTTTTCTAATTTTTCTTTTATGTTTTATTTGTTTTGACAATATTCATTTTGAAAAATTCCTTATTACATAAAAAGAATTTTTATTTTTGTTCTCTTCTTTGTTTACTTTAGTTGCTGTGTTTGTATTATTTACTTTTATTTTTTGCTTATATATTATAGGACAAACTCCTGATGATGCCAAAGTTTTTGGCGAAATATATTGAGAAGAAAATGATATAATTCTAGTGCTAGCGAGTAGGGTTGGGATTTGTTTAAAAACGATCTAAAGTTTTCTCAAGGATTCAGGGTATATAGTCGCATTTAAACAATTTCTCTCAAACAAATTCGATTAAAAATTGTTTGTAAATCAACCGATGCAAACAGACAAATCCGCAAATTTTGTTTTTGTTTTATTACTTTAACTATAATAATCTTAGTTTTGTATTTAAACTTTGTAAAGTTGAGAGGAACATAAAATGGAATCAAAATACCGACTTTGTTTAAAATTATAGGTTTAGATTAAACTTTAAGATTAGGATTATTGTATCTAATTTTAGATTCACTCCATATCAGAAATTATTTTTCATTTTATTCGAGAAGTTTCGAGTATACAGGATAAGCATGTTTAGACTTTTTAATCTGAATTTTATCAAATAGTTAAAATATCGAAACTGATATTTGTTCATTAACGGGAGAGACCTCCTAGGCATGATAGTTGCAAGCTGAAAGTACAGTATTGTTATAGATAGAGAAAAACTTTAGAATTAAGTTGATACGTTTCTTCTGCTGACTGAAACAACTGGTGAAATATTAAAAACGATTTTATACTCTTATTCAAAAATTGTACATCCTAAAGTTTTTCTCTACAATACTGCACTTTCAACTCAACTACCATGTCTAGACGGTTTCTACCTTTAAAGTAAAATCAAAACAAATAAATTTTCTTCAGATTTTATAGATTGTTGATTTTAATTTTCCTTTAATCACTTAATTTGATATATGCAAAAATAGAATAAAAATAATATAATACAATTTTAAAGATTTTCCAATTTTAAAAATTAGAACAAGTATCTGCCACAAACTCAAAATGTATTATCGAAAAATCTTTCTCGCCTGAGCCCAAAACTTAAGACAGGGTATCGTTATTAAAACCAGTTCTAAAACCCGGGTTTTATGAATGGGGTTAGGGAGTTTTGTGAAAATAAATATTTTTGTTATGAAATATTATATAATTCAGTTTGTTTATAGTCTCCATTTTTTCGAATCTCTTAAAACAAAATCTACACAAGTGTTAAGACCCCAAAAAGGAAACTTAGGAGTTTCGTTCAACGATACTCTTTTAAATTTCAGGCTCTGTGGTGTACACTGTACACCTTTGATATTTAAAACTTTTTGTACACCATGATAATGTCTAAATTCCTAAAGTTTTTCTCTAAATACTAATGAGCTTCCCTAAAATACTTTTTTCATTTTTATCCTTTTATCGTAAAAAATTGCAATCTAGGTTTCCAATATTTTTTTTTAGCCTCTCTTTATACTAATATAAACTGACAAAATTGTTTATTACAAATATCATAAAGTAAAATATTTTTTTTACAACACAGTACTGTGAAAAACAGTACAGTGCAGTACAGTACGGTACAGTATGTAAATAATGCATTATTAGTAAACATTAGAATTATCCGCGAAAACGTGTGAACAGGGTACTTCAGAATTCTTAAATACCAAATCTTTCATGATTGTAAAAGATGATAACGTTAAATGTTTTAGAACACATTCTTAATAATTTCTCTTTTTTACCAAAATTGAATGATTTCAGGTGAATTCCAAAAGTATCTGTGGTTTGAACATTTCTAGGATAAAATATGTATTAAACACCCTCTTCACCCTTTATCACAATTTACAAAACTTTACAGGCGCTCTTAACATTGATTGCTTTATAGGAATGTTTCTTATTGTTAAAGGGACGAAGGGTGATGCTTTTATCGGAGTTCCAGTATCTTCTGGGCTGGAGGGATTCAAACATTGGATTATTTAGATAGTCGGTACATGGGTCACAATAGTTGCTGAACCGACGACGGTTGCCCGGTAATCGGCGGGAGTAGTCAGGAAGAACGAGGCTGCCGCTGGTCTTCCGATAACCGTCGTTTCGGCCGATTTGTCGATGTTGGGAGACGCCGATTTGCAGGCTCTGATAGGGACCGACGCTCATGTCGTAGCTCTTCACCTAAAAAGTAGACATTTAAAAAACAAACAATAACATTGATTATTTTTGTGGAATATGAAGGCAACTGTAAGATGATTAAGAGAAGGGTTGTAGGATGGTGAAGGATAAATTGATACAAAGGTAGAAGGCGGAAGGTTAGATTCATGCGCTGATTGTTTTAATGCAAGATATTGGCAGATCCTGTCTTATAAATCTATTCTCTATGTATATTCTAATCAGACGCGGCACTTGCACGTGGAACAAAACAACGACGTCATTTTGAAAAATAAGCCATATTTTGATTTTTGCAAAATGATGACGCATTAATAATGAATTAAAATTTTCAGAAAAATAAGATCATATAATTAAAAAGGCCGTCGACGCATTGAAGTCTTAGGTTTGATATTGCAGATTTGCCCTTGCCAGACAACATTAGGACATTAAGCCAGTGGCTTAATGCCTTAATCATGACACTACCAAAGGATTGGTCTCACAACACACAGAGCTGATGGGGGATTTAAGATTTGTAAATGTATAAGTAGTGTAAAGAAGCAGTTAACTCTTTGAGTGCCCACAAAAAAGATATAAAATTACTCATATTGACGCTATCAGAAACAAGTGTTTATGCCGCTCGTAAATTCAGTTTATCACATAAACAAAAAGGTATAAATTATAAAACAAATATCAGTATAATTTCATTTTTTTTCCAAAAAAAGGCGCAACACATTTTGTATAAAATGTTAAAAAATGTTGTACCTTGTTGACATAGTTCTCTGCTAGGTGCTGGAAAACGCTTCCTACATTTAGATCCTCCTTTACTGAAGTACGGTACAGCCTCATATTGCACTCTGCTGCCAGCCTCTCAGCCTCTAACCTAAAGTATAGCAAAATGAGACAAAAATTGCCATTTGATAAAAAATCACATGTTCATCTGGTGGAATAACAAAATGTTTAAGAATTAAACTAAAATTTAGTTCAGAAAAATTATCTGTTCATAGGAATCAATTGGATTTATAAGAGTGTAAAATTATATTATTTCTTAAAAACCAATGTAAATAAATACTTATACTTTCTATCAGTGTGTATTTGTAAGAAAAAGTTGTATCAGAGTATTTTTCTGTTTGATAAATTAGGAACAATTTAAACAATTTAACGGATTTCTATTTAAACAATCAAATCTTTATAATTATGTCCATCATGTGTGAACATCCGCTAGAACCTGAGAAAATTGGCGGGAAAAGTAATATAAATTATAGGAATCAATGCCGCGGCAAGATTGAATTATAGAAAACGAACTTGATTGATTGATTGAGTTCCAGATGAATAAGAATTAACAAAGTAAAATAAGGATGAATATAAGGCGTAAGATGCAGAATGAATGAACACTTTGCTCGAAGGGTTGAATTTGCGTGAGAAAATTTGAAAATAATTCAAGATTTAAAGCAAATTTAAACACATCATACGCATGAAGGATCCAGGGTTTTAACATATTTGAAAGACAAAACTTGTTTAAATTTGATAAGAGATCTAGCTGAGCTACTGTAAACGGATTAAACTGGATTATATTCTCATTTTACCGGAATTTAAATCCCCCCTCTCTCGGCTCTCCAGAAATATTATATTTCATTTCATACAAAAAAAAGAAATTTTTAAGCCGACAGAATTCGTGTAATCTATATTTGGTTTTCGGTTGAATAACGTTAAATATCGGATCAACTGAGGCACCTGGAGTAAAACTAACCCTGTTAATCCCTACACCTTGAGCTCACGGTTCAAACCAATTCTCTCCTAGATTAAAGAATTCCAGGACTACTTTTAAATCCTCACCCAAATGTGGAATATTTCCAAATCCTCCAAATATGGTGGAAAAATGCGCAAAATTAGGAAAAAAATTTGATCCAGACTTGACTGCCTGATTGCATGATTGCTTTCTCAGGCAAAATTGAGAATGATTAGGTAACCTTTTAACCCCAAGCTGTCAAGTACTTCACCTCCCTGCATCAGTTGCCCCCCCCCCCGACCACCCAAAATTTGTGAAAAATACACGATTTGTAGTATTTTGTCGTGGAAATTGAAAGAATTAGTCTAGCTCTAGCTACTATTCCCAAAAACTTTTTTCAGTAACAGATCTTATTAATTCTTAATTCACAGGATCTATAGACTTAAAAAAAAAACTGATCACTCGCCCCAAACTATAAAATGGCTATATTTTTGCAATCTGATGGTGTGAACCAATTGATATTTCAATCAGCATAACTCATAGCTTGAAATAGTAAAGGACTACGCCAGGTTAAAACACTAACAGGATTAGCAACGAAGTTGAGTTTTTGCCACAAACTCCGGTTTTCTAATCCATATATCTATGCAACACAATGTCGTAGACCAAAGATAATTCAAACTATGAATTAGGTTAGATCAAGTAGTATACGTTTTAAATAGGTTTACACCATCAGGTTGCGAAGATATTAGAAAATTCAAGTTTGTGAAGTAACACAATTCCTTGAGTTTGATGGGTGAGGGGTTGGAGAGGGGGGGGGGGGTATTTAAATTGTTCTGGGGCAGGGTGTTAAAACACTTACTGAAGAATAATGTGAATGAGTGAGATAATTGTTTCTGTTTTGGAGTCCAACTGTTTTGAATTAATACTACGTATATATATTTAGAATTTATTGCCACCCACTTGTGAAATATTAAACCAATTAGTCATCCATATTTAACACTTGATTCTGTATTTATGAATTATGTACACAACGAGCAGATAACTTACCTTTAACTCTAAGTTTCTAATTCATAATCTTTACAAACTACTCTGAGAACAAGAAAACTGTGGAAAAGGAAGACGACATCAAAACCTCAGCTGCATTACGAGGTTGTTACAACGGTATAAGTAGTTTTATTAAAGTAGCAAATACATTAAATGAAATGAGTATTTACACACTAAAATGATTGCTGTGTCTCCTGTTTACTGGATCTTATTACAAATCATAACTTGAGTCTAAAAGTATTTTTTTTTTCACAGTTTTCTGCTTCTCACTGTATTAAAAAAAAAAAAAAATTCGTTGCTCAATCGTTAAAATATGTGCCCGTGGAATTTTTAATACTAAATTTGTAATTTAAAAAAAATTGGTTTTGGAAAAACAAAATTTTGAATTTTTTAAAACTTTGTTAACCTCGGATACCAATGAGTTCCCTCAAAATATTTCAACCAATTTGGTCCAGCCGTTTGCCCAGCGCTATAGCCGATATAATCGATATTTCAAATATAAATAAAAATAAAATATTAAAATTTATAAAGTACTTATCCAGTCAGATTAAAAGCGAAACCTTGAGCCAAATTATCTAAATTATGACGAAAACATATATTACGTTTTGCCATCTACTCCTTTAACACTGAAGTTTGAAACAAGATCTTTGCAGAATTGGAATCTTCATATATAGGGCTGCAAATATAAATAATAAGAATGGAAAGACCAACAGCCAATTAGAAAGAACGAATTCTTCTAACAATTATCAAACGAGATTCACCTTCAAATAACAGTACAATCCCTTTAAACCAATTTAAACAATACTTGTTCTAATATGAGTATAGTCCCTTTAAACCAATTTAAACAATATTTGTTCAAATATGAGCACAGTCCCTTTAAACTAATTTTAACAATATTTGTTCAAATATGAGCACAGTCCATTTAAACCAATTTAAACAATACTTGTTCAAATATGAGCATAGTCCCTTTAAACCAATTTAAATAATACTTGTTTAAATATGAGCACAGTCCCTTTAACCCAATTTAAACAATACTTGTTCAAATATGAGCACAGTCCCTTTAAACCAATTTTAACAATATTTGTTCAAATATAAGCAGAGTCCCTTTAAACCAATTTAAACAATACTTGTTCAAATATGAGCACAGTCCCTTTGAACCAATTTAAACAATACATTTTCAAATACAAATTATCGTTGCATTGTCTTCAAGCATAATAATCAGGCCGATTTCAATTTTATTCCAGGCATGCAATTTCTGCCTGAATTTTAAACTAAGTTTGATGGACAAATTATAATCAAGACATTGTTGTGTCACAAGCTGGGACTTCAATTAGTATTGAAATATCATGAAATAAAATAAAATTTGCAACATCTGGTCAATTCACAACAGTACCCTTGAAACCTGACCTGAGCAAGAAGGAAATATCCTTATGTTTCTAGCTGACAACTGATTAGTTTCAGTGGCGGTTTCTCTTTAAAAGTAAATCGCGGATTTATGCACTGCACACAATGAAGAAAATTTACAGAATTTAACACTTTGTTAAAAAGAAAAACAGCGATGTATTCCTCGTTGTTCAAGTAGAGAAATCGTATCAGACATCGTAATGATGCAAATCTTGAAATTTCGCCTACAGTCCCATTTAGGTACATATGAGGGGGGGGGGGGCAATTATTTTGTCACTCATCCTTCTTTAAGTGCAGGGGATGGGGAAGTGAGGGGGGGATAATAGCTCTTATATACTCGAATGTCATTGAAGAACAATTGTACTACAATTACAAATGAAAGTTCATTTAGAAAAAAAAAATAGTAAATAAATGACAGAAAAAACTGGTATTATCTAATGATTAAAAATGTTCATATAAAAACATATTTTCCCCCTGTTTTCTACTTCTTCTAGATATTTCTAGTATTTACCCTGGGACACACCTAGTGCTCTAGTCCTTAAATTGACCAATTTACTGACTAAACGTTGCTAATAAACCTTAAACAACACGTTCTTGCGTTTTATATTCCGCAGTAGGGAGGAGAAATAAGCGGGGGGGGGGGAAGAGAATGAGGCGGGTAGCGAATGAGGGGGGAATAAATAAGGGTGAGTGAATGAGGGGATAGTGAGTGAATGAGGAGAAGTGTATTGAATGAGGGGCTAGGGAGTGAACTAAGGGAAGTTATTGAATAAGGGGATAGGGAGTGAATTAGGGGAAGGGTAGTGAACGAGAGGGGGGAGTGAATAAGTTAGAGATATAAAAAGGGGAGGGGGAGTGAATGAGGTATAGTAAAGAAGAGAGGGGGGTCGAATTAGGGGGAGGGTAAATCAGGGAAAGAATCAGGGAGAGAATAAAGGAAGGGATATTATGTTGAGCATAAAAAGTAGATTAAATGTTTCTTATACATATTCTTTGCTGTCTAAATGTCTAAAAAAATTAAATAAAAAATAATTATATTTTATAATTATATAATTATATTTTTCACTTTTTTCCTAAATGGTTGCCCTCCCATGGTCAGTGAGCTATTATCAAAATCAAAGTTATAACTTCAAAAAGAATATCAAAAATATAAGTTGAGAGATGGTTTAGCAGGATGGGGGTTGGATGACATGAAAAGTTAGAATAATTATAAAGTCGAGCCCTCTTATTGCCTCTAATTATAGCGCAGGAAATGGGGGTTTAGGACGCTTCGTGCAATCTGTAATTTCACACGAGGACTACCTAGATACAGGGACTATCTAGATACAGGGACTACCTAGATACGGGGACTACCTAGATACAAGGACTACCTAGATACAGGGACTACCTAGATACAGGGACTACTTAGATACAGGGACTACCTAGATACAGGGACTACCTAGATACAGGGACTACCTAGATACAGGGACTACCTAGATACAGGGGCTACCTAGATACGGGGACTACCTAGATACAAGGGGCTACCTAGATACGGGGACTACCTAGATACAAGGACTACCTAGATACAGGGACTACCTAGATACAAGGACTACCAAGATACAGGGACTACCTAGATACAGGGACTACCTAGATACAGGGACTACCTAGATACAGGGACTACCTAGATACGGGGACTACCTATATATGGGGATTACCTAGATACGGGACCTACTTAAATGTCTTTAAAGGGACTTTAGACGTTATTTTAAATGAGCCTGCATCTGAAAAGTGGCATGGCCTATCCTTTAAATGTTTGTTTACACAAGAATGAATGAGATATCCTTATTTTTCTCTCGAAAAATAAAAAAATTGAGCATTTTCAATTGTGGTTTCTCAGTAAATGTGAAATTACGCCTATAGTCTCTTTAACGTGTCCCAAAGATGTTGTTATTCTATAACTAGTTGTTCCAAAATTGAAATTTTACTCTAATTTTTGATATTATCACTAATGGCTTTTACGATAATTAGAAAGAAAGGAAAATTTAATCATTAATTATTTTAGTACATATATCAACGTCGCGCATCAGATTCAGAATTGTTTTTACTTCTGTATATAGTAATAAAATATCCTTGTAAGGAGCACGGTCTGTATTTCTAATCTCAGCTGTAATGTGCACGCACGCAGCATGACGCACAATCTTTGCCGCGTTTGTTTATTCTTCGTGTTGCGCACGTTATGTAATATTTTTGTTTATGAATCATATGCGCATGTGTGTCTGTCCTATTTTTGTGTGCCCTACAAATAGTTTTGCAACATAATTACAAATTTAATGAACGATTTATTGAAATAATTTCAAAGAATGATCTTTTGCAGATTTTTAAAGGTTGGCCTATTAAAGCCCTATGGATTATTTGTCATTTTCACTTGAAAGTTGAGGATCTAAGAAATGTTGGATAAACAATTAAGGATAACCAAAAGTTTTGCGATATTTAAAAAAAGTAGAACTAAATTTCATGGGATCCTCATAAGTTTATGAGTCATACATATTGATACCCTTTAAACCTCTAAGTAATTAAGTGAGGAAGATATTTGTTATAAAATGTTGCAGTCGTTGTCTCTGCAAGATAACTCCTAAACTCACTTTTACAGAGAAACCAAAAAATAAAATAATCAATTTTCAAGTAGAAAAATAGGAATACCTCAATCATCCTAGGGTGTGCAGAGAGTTAAATTTTTTTGTAAATCATCTTTAAAAGAAAAAAAGAATTAAAAAAAGATGAAAACTTACTGATCAATCTCTGACTGTGATATAAGATCGATCTTGTTCTGTACGAGGACCATGGGGATATCCCCGCACTCATCCTCCACCTTCTTCTTCCACTTTCTCACCGCTAGAAGGCTCTCACGGTCAATCGTGGAGAAAGCAACAACACAGGCCTGGGCTCCCCTGGATACAGTTTTTTAGTAAGAAAAAGCTAGAATTTTAGAAAAATAAAGTTTGGGAATTGGATCACATGATCTGAATAAGTATGATGATCGTTTGGAAAGATTATCATTCTTACATAAAACATGATCATAAAATGTTTTTTTGAAGAATCATAATGATCGTTTAATGGATTGCTCTCCCAATTTAAACAAATATTGCTATCAGAATCATGATTATTAGATCGTTGAGTTAAGCTTGATCATTATATGGATCGTGATCGTCACACTAACGTTACATAAATCATAATCCTTTTATGGATCAAAATACAAATATCATTCAATAAATCATGGTTGTTCGTTATACGCATTCTAATGTCATTATATGGATATTTATGTTTGTTTGATGATTGTTATATGTATTCTAATATCATTATATGGATATTTATGTTTGTATGATGATTGTTATATGCATTCTAATATCATTATATGGATATTTATGTTTGTATGATGATTGTTATATGTATTCTAATATCATTATATGGATATTTATGTTTGTTTGATGATTGTTATATGTATTCTAATATCATTATATGGATATTTATGTTTGTATGATGATTGTTGTATGTATTCTAATATCATTATATGGATATTTATGTTTGTATGATGATTGTTATATGTATTCTAATATCATTATATGGATATTTATGTTTGTATGATGATTGTTATATGTATTCTAATATCATTATATGGATATTTATGTTTGTATGATGATTGTTATACAGATTTTAATTAGTTTTAGTGGTAAAAAACAAAACAAATGAAATGCACATAGAAACCCGAACAGAAATTGCATTCAATTTACAGAACAAACTCGTAAAGTTTAAATAACTTTGTGTAAAGAGTGAAGAGAGATGACTTGTTGTGAAAGTAAAATTATTAGATTATTGAGATTTTTAAGACAAAACAGTATTTTGGCGATAATAAATAATCTGGGACGCTCTAGATAGTTAGAAATATTAAATGATAGAAAGTTAGACACCAATAGCAGTGGCCAGTGATATAATATCCACAAAGAAAGAAGCATAAAAAGATAAAAAGAATAAGATAAATGTTTGTAATATATCTAAACAATTAAACAAAGCCATGAAAAAATACAAACAAAAAGAAAGAGAGATATAAAATTAATTTTTTTACATATACACGGATGGGACTGCAGAGACGACTGTACAGAATTTATAAAGACTTTACACGCAATTTTGGTTTCCTGTAACTCTATACCTGTTTCTTTCGTTGCCAAATCATTAAGCAATATATTTAATGACTATTTTTACTGTAAATACCAAATTCAACCTTCAAGAAATTTTTGGTCGTCATTGTAGTCTCATTCTGTTTGGATAAATATAGACAGACTAGCTTGGTAAACCGGTGCTGCCCAGGGTACTCATAATTACTCCCGCCGTTTACCCGCGCTTGGTCTTAAATTACTATTAAAGCTATTAAAAGTAAACCCACACAACTTAGAATTTCAAAACTAAGCTAAGAACATTTCAGTGGTTCTCCCGAGTTCCCCAATCAAAATTTTAGGCAAATTGGTGAAGGGGTTCCTGAGTTAAGATCGGAAATACAAAAAGAGATTACTAGGTTATATATTTATAGATATATACATATGGAAGGATGGATAGATAGAACAGAATTAAGGCAATTGTAACAATGTGCAGATAGATAGATAGAAAGATGTAAAGACAAGAAAGATTGAAAGTGAGTTGAATAGACAGATTTGTAAATGGGAAATCATGCATGAAATTAAACACCCAAAAAACTAAAGAATTCCAAGAGAGAAAGGAGCGGAGAGCTTTAAATTCAATAGAAACGAATGCGATGTAATATCCCCCCCCACCAGCCCCCAGAACCTGCTGCAAAATGCCCCCCCCCCCTACTTCAATCAATGTTTTAAAGTAGGCAAAAAAATATTGAAAAGTCAAAACAATATTTTTGTCTATAAAAAATCATCAGCGCTAAATGACACTTATTGTGTACATTTTCTAGTAAACATTAGAACATTTGCGCATTTTACAACTTGTACAGTGTGCACAGTGGTTAAACTTTACACTAAATACACACAAACAATAAAAACTATACTTTCTAAACAAACTGAACGTTTCCTGGTAACTCCTTGAAACATTGCCTCTACATAACTGTTGTTGAGAAAAAATTTAAAAAGAGTGTTTTATGCTAATTTTACAACAATTTTTATTCAACCCGAAATTCTAAAAACGGAGAATGAAAATAAATCTTGAAAAAAACTAAAGGAAGCCTTATCCTGGCCCTGATAGCTGTCAATTTTGTTCCATTTTTCCCTCGCTTATTCTCAAAATGGCGGGGTTTTCACAGCGTTTATGGGCTGTTCAACATTACCGTGATAATTTGAGTTCGCGCCTTATTTGGATATTAGTGATTTTATCGCCTTTTAACCTAACTCTGGGAGCTAAGAATGACGGGAGAATAGAAAATTTTTGCCCCCCCCCCCCCGTCCCTACTGTTCAACAAAATGATTTTGTCAAAAAAGTTTTAACATCTCTTTGTTAAAACCCCTCGTGCCGTTGAATAAACAAAATAAAAGATGGAGGTGTAAACTGTGTAAACCATGTAACATTTTACATAAAATAATGTCAAGTCATCCTGTCTTAAACTGACAGATTCATGAATAAATAAATTAAAGACAGATAATTGTGTTTAATTATTGTAATTATCAGCTATTTTTGTTTCAAAAATTCAAGTATTAAACATTTTGTTGATATCAAATTACCGACCGGAAGCCCATGATTTTTTTATACCAAATTAAAACACATGTTTAAGTTTGCGTAGGGAAATAAGTAAATATAGAACCTTAGCCTCAAGCTTTATCACAGCATGGGTAACAAATGACCTTAATTGAGGTTGCGTGTATTTGGGAACAAATTAGAAAAGTAATTAAACTTACAAATGTCTGATTTAAAGTAACTAATTGTTCTAAATATTCACAATCATGAAATTAGGAAAAAAATATAAGATTATACCTGTAATATGCTTTGGTTATGGCATCAAACTCCTCTTGCCCAGCTGTATCCCAGAGCATAAGCCTGACATCCTCCCCATGAATCCGCAATTGTTTTTCAAGAAAATCCACACCAATCGTCTTCTTATAGCTTTTAGTGAAGGTTCCGCGGCAATAGCGCTGGATCATGCTTGACTTTCCAACCGCGCCATTCCCTACTATCACAACCTGAAATAATATCATATGAAAATTACACATATTTACATGATAAAAAGCCCAATTCATCATTTTACTACGCATGGAAAAAGAGTCCTCTAGCTGCATAGATTGATTTTATCCCATATATTTTAAACGGTGTAAAAAGACGGGTAAATACTTCACTAAAAAGTAATTTATACGCTAGGAATGAAGACCATTTAGAACCCACTGGGTTGGGATAGTTAAGTGGATAAAATACACCCATATTTTATCCGTGACCGAGCAACGTCTCTACAAAATGTTTGGGCGGGAATCCATTTATTTTTTCCTTTTCCTTATCTATTTACACCAGGTGTGTGTTTATACATTGAATTGATAGAAAATCCAGGAGTTTGATTCCGATTAATTAGAATATGATTAGACTGATTAATAAGTCAGGAAATCAACGCATAAATTGATTGATTGATTGGTTATCCAGAGCATAAGCCTTGTAGTTAAAGAACATTGTAAACGAGGAAGTGCACATTTTGACAGAATTTAGCCATCTACTTTAAAACTGAAACTGAAACAGGTGCTTTCTAGCTTTGAAACCATCCAGCATTTTATAGATTGAAAGCATTGGATCCCATTCCCTGCTTTAACTGGAACTAAACTTTCTCTATATAAGTTTACCCACTAACCTTAGAACTTTAAACCCTAATAACAGTCCCGTGGTTCTACTGAGTTCCTCAATCAAAATTTTATTGAAATCGGTCAAACACTCTGGGCCATAGTAATTTTGAATTCGAACAGGGCCTGCCCAGTTTGTACCGGCCTGCCAGAAAAAAGTGTGTACTGACCCGATCCTATGGTACAGTACGTCACCCTAACCAGACTATCATACGACAGGGGTGCGTTCAGATGTTTTACAGTACCCGGCCTAATCCTAAGCCTATTTGACCGACCCCACTGGCTTAGTCCACCGTGCAAGGGGTTCCAGAGTTATGGTCGGAAAAAACAGACACAAAGACAACCAGAGATTACTATTTTATATTTACTATCTTGGGAACCCAGCGCTGCTAAGGTTACAAAAAGTTATTCCGCCGTTTACCCGCACTTGAACGATTTTACCGGGAAACTAAATTTTCGCTTTTAAAGTCGACCCACGCAACTTAAATTCTCAAAACCAAGCTACGACCATTCCCGTGGGTCTCCCGAGTTTCTCAGTCAAAATTTGAAGCAAATAGGTCCAGGTGTTCCTGAGTTAAGATTGAACAAATGAACAGACAAACAGAGATTACAACTATATATATATACAGATAAGGGAGCTGGTTAGGTTTAAATATGATTTAAGATTGAATAGTAAGATGAATAAGTAGATGTACAATATTTAAATTATGTAGAGCGCTATGAGACATCAATGGTAAAAATGTGGAATCAAAATTGTTCAATCATAAATATTTAAAATTATGCTTTTCATTAATAATATAATATAAAAGATGATTGTTGAAAACTTAGAATCCATGTTAACATAAAACCCCCATACAAACTATAAAGTTTAATTCTAGATATCATTGTATAAAAACCCCCCTGTAATCCCAGATGATATAACGTGATAGTATATTATTGTACCAGAATACTAAACCATGACAACGTTGGAACCCTTAATGATATATTTAATGTTTACAGCGCCAATATCTGTATTGGTTCCTGAAAGGGGCCTTTTTTAGGGGGGGGGGGGCAGATTTTTTTCTTCACAATGTCAAAATTTACTCCCTTTATTTTGTCAAGCAATATATTTGATGGTGACACTTTTTTTAGAACCTTTCAATAAATAATATATAGGAAGTGATATTAAAATACCTCCTTAGTTTGCTGGGGGCACAGGGAATTGATAAAAATATGATATCATATTTTCAAAAGCTTATTGTACTGTTCAGCTAGAGTAAAATATATTTTATCGATTCACTTTCAATAAATATTATAAAACATTTGTATGTTTAATTACATGTTTACTGCAGCCACTTTAAATGATATCTTTAGCTAAAATCAACTCCGCTCAATGCACCTCCAAATTATCTAGTTTTTTCTCGATATTTTACTTAAATATAGTTTTGAGTTTTAAACATGTTTAAACAGCTTCGGGTGAAGCGGTATTTCTGGATTTTCTAAGTTCAGCTCAAAAAATTTAAATATTCTTAAAGAGACTGTTCGACGTAATTTCAAATAACGTTTCATTTAAAGTGCAACTTTACGGGATTTCATAGTATTTTAGTCTTAAAATTTATAATTTTTAATTGCAGATTTATGCCTTGATAATTGATCTTTTCTAATTGTAATTTTGATAAAGGTACCACTGTGAACCGTGGATTAGATTCCTTATTTGTAAATTTCTACGATATTTTTCAACTTTTTGAAGATCGACGATAATATTTTCCCCAGAAAATGCAACAATTTATGTAGTTTTTTACCTTCTTCACTTTGTAGTCTATTTTCCTCTACAATTTAAATTTCTGAATATACGTATCTAGATCCCCTGAGAATCTTGCAATGCAAAAATCAGGCCTAAGGACTGCCTAAAGGCTTGAATTTGCGAATCTATAGAAAGGCTGAAAGGCCTGAATGCTTAGAAGATGATAGGGCAGGATGGTAATATCGTCTGCACTAGCATATATTTACTATTTTAGTCTTCAATTATTTTTTAAACTTTTTTTCCAGGAACTCAAAGCGCCATCCCCTCCACTGTTGTGTCGGGGATTTGGGAACATTTTTTCTCCCAAAAACTTCAAAAATTTAATGAAATTGCACAAACATACTTGTAACCCATGCTTTTAATTCAGAATTGTTTTATCCACTAAACAGGTTTTGACTTAATGACATGTACGTATATATATATTTTTAAGTTTTTTTTTTTTGGTTTGTTTCTATCCAATAAGCGATAAAAAACGGATACCGGATATATCTTAATAACATTGTTTGTAGTCAAATGCCTCAATGGAAGGTTTATGGCAGACCGATTGTGACCCAAGAAAATGACTTAAAATTTTTGAAAGTTCATAAAATGAATAAAAAACAAAAATCTGGAAAATTTCATATTTTGACAGAACGATGAAATATTAAATAAATTAAGAAAAAAGACGTGAATATTATTTTCACAAGATTATTATAATTTGAACGCGCACGCGAGGCTTCTGAATGTAGAGAACCCTACGCGGCAATTTAAATCTTCTAAAATCTGTTTAAAATATGGCGGAGTCACGTTGTCTGAAGGAATCACGTAATCCAACACAATTGCTCCCAATTCCTATATTTTTCACCAATACACAATATAAACATTTATTTTGCACTTTTTCTACAAATCCCTGGCCTAGTTTTGCAAAACTCTCGAAAAAGTGCAAAATCTATCTGGGCAAATTTTTTACACAATCCGCAATTTTACAACATGCTTTACAACTTTTATCAAATGTCTTTCTGCTTTTTTATGCTTTTTTAATCTAGGGCGATTCGCTCTCTTTTTCGGATAAAAAAAAGTTTTAAAATTTATCAGTGTATTAAAAACTGAATACTCGCTACAAATGTTCTAAACCTATAGCTAAAGGTGTAAGCCTTCAGTATTTATAACCTTTTCATTCATTAAAATTTATTTTTTGAAATATCAAATATCTGCAACATCAGATTGCAAAAATTTTACGGATTAGAAAATTAGAGTTTTTGCACCTAGTACTCAGTTTCTTTCTTGGATGTCTTTTACATACAGCGATAATCAGAAAACTGTGGAATAGAAAGACGACTTTAATTCAACAATTACGTATTTTATGGTGTTTCAAAGCAAATAGTTTCATCTAATGGCGTATCTAATTAATTCCGTATTAACTAAAATGGATATGTTTAAAATGCACTACTGTTGAGTCTCATAACACTTGTATGCGATTCCATTAGCGCCTGATCCAATCAGGGTTCAGACATGTGTTTGGTGTTTATTCTGAATCAATCTAAATTGCTTGGCAGTATCATCTATCTCAACATCCAATTAGAGATGAATCCTTAAGTCGGTGCTAAACAGTAAATGAAAATATTTACATCTCCTGAAACTATAAGTGTAATGTTGAATTGACTTTTGAAAGTAAAAACCTGAAAAGTCGTCTTCCTATTTCAGAGTTCTGTGGTCATCACTGTACATTGCCGAGACAATCGTTTTATCGTTTTATCGCACCGACGATTTCAAAGCACGCCCATGATATCTGAACACTTATACATGGACGTTAAATTTGCAATAATATTTATTATATGCACATTTACCCATATTAGATATGGTGCCCACTACTACTATAGTAAATATATATTAATAGTCAGGGGAGCTAGGGGAGGGGCAATTAGTTATTATGATGAAAACCAATTAGCTTAATAATATAAAGTGAGACTAAAAAAAACTGTAGAATAGAAAGACAACTTTAGCAATGGTGCATTGTATACGGTAAGCCATACTTTCACTTAATAAGTTGATTTTTAAGCCTAAAGGGAGTGTTCGCGAAAATTTAAAGGGGGGTACAGGCTTAAGCTTTAAGCTCGTGGTAAAACTGTATTGCTATATAGTCTATAAAGAATACACACAAGATTCCATAAATTTCAGCTTATTACATTACAGTTATATGTTTCCCTATATATTATATATATACAGCATAATTGCAGGCTAAAATAAAAACTAGAAGAATTCCTGATTCACAGCGATACCCCTGTCATTTTTATCGATCAATAATTTGGAGAATATTGTCGTTTTTCTGACTCGAAATGGAAATGCGCCAGTAACCCACATGTAAATATAATCAGTTTTCAAATAACCATTATTATCTAATTCAGACTTGATCATACAAAGGATTTAAGGGTACGGTTGTGAATAGGGCATGTAGGATTACTTGAAATCAAGCGGCTTACAGTCCCTTTAAGCAGGATTGAATCATTTAAACTGATTCTTTCATATTCATTAATTCCAAGATCTGATATTAAACCCAACCTTTTATTTTGAACTCATGCACTTTATAGCTTCCTGGCTTTAGTGCACGGAATTTACATAAAAATCCGGGAAACCATTTTTTTTCAGTGATTGAGATGATTAACCCTACCTCACCAGGAAGGGGGAGGAGAGGGAGGGGGGGGGGGTTTGTTCAAAAAGTCTTAAAAACTGGAAAGAATAAATAATATTTGTTTTTTATTGTTTTTTTTTCGAATGTGAAGCATCCAAAAATATTTATTATTTATGTATTTTTGCTATCCAAGAATTGGGGAAAGGTTCTGTCAACTGTAAACGTTTTGAGTATTCCTTCGGTTACATACAGAGTGGCATGAGCGGTTTACAACAGTTTATTTTTTTTACCTTTGCTGAGAAATAATGTGAAAGCACAATTAAAGATTGAAAAAGACAAAGGATGAATAAGTACTGTTGTTAATTGATAATATATGTAACTTTGTAAATTGTGTGTCATTTGAAATTGAGATTAATTACAGTTCTATAAAAAAACAAGCACTTCAAGGAACTGTAAGCGTAAATCGTAATTTTCAGTGACCCTCCATGCAAAGATGGCTCTGCCCGGTTTACAACGAAACTTTTGAAAACTTAATCTGATAGAATGGGGAATATAACGCCGTTTTTCTCACTCGAAAAGTGTTTATTTCCGTGAATTTCTTAACTGATTTTAAGTTTGGAACTTTTGCAGAGAAACCACAAAAAGGAAATATTTTAAAGAAACAAAACATGGATGTCTAATTCATTCTTGATGAGACAAAGTTGTCAAGGGTAAATTGGGCATTGCATTGTCATCATTACATGAAGGGTCACGTGAAATTACTTGTACAGTCCTTTTAGCATGAAAGGTTGTATGCTGATACTGACTGTGAAAAATTGATTAATTTTGACATTTACTGTTTTAAATATTTCGATAACAGGCCATTCTTTAAAGTTTAATTATAATTTTATGCTTAAAGAGTGTTTGAGGTTGAATTTATGATATAAAATTCTCAAATTAATGGATTAAATACCTTAGATAATATAAATGATAAAATCTGATCTAAATTGATCTTTTTTTAAAAAGTCGGAGAAAAACACGTTCGTTTCCTGAAAATATGTTTTTCTTTACAAAATTGGGTCATAGTGTCAGCTGGGTTGTTTTTATAGTACAGTTTATTATTTTATTTTTAACTAGATTGCTTGATTTTTTTTCAAGCACCATAACTAACACCTTTCTTTTTATCTTCTTTTTCTTTATTTTCTGCCTAATTTTTCACTTTAAACTTATTATTTCTTGTTACTTTTTTCCGTTTTTTATCTACTGATTTAATTATTTCTCTATCTATCTATTTATCCTTTATTTCTTCATTTATCTTTCCATTTATTTATATCTATCTGCCTGTCTACCAATCTATCTCTGTATGTATGTATATATATATATATATATATATATATATGTATGATATGCATAAGTATTTGTATACTAGTGTATTGTATATTTAACAACATGTGAATTCCATCTCTATCTCCAGTTCCTTACCTTGACAGAGATCTCTATATCTTCATCCCTGATATCAGTGATATACATTGTCTTGTGTCACTTGGTTGCCCTGGCTCAGGGTACCGACAATACCACAGGGTTCCACTTCTCCGGGTACTAACAATACCACAGTTGATATCACGGGTGGATGTCTTGTATCTGTTGTCTTGGTTTAGATCTGTACAAGGTCAACTGTACTGCAGTTTCATGTTAACACAAACATCTTATCCTGGAACCATCAAACCTTCGTCTTAGGACATTAAGAAACAATTTTTGGACTGACATAGCTTTGTTTTTGGACAAATAGGCACACTTTTAGGACAGTGATAGCTTTGTTTTAGGACGAATAGGCACACTTTAAGGAAAGGCATAGCTGTGTTTTAAGACATACGGAAACCGTTTTAGGAGAGACATAGCTTTGCTTTAGGGCATACAGAAATTTTTTTGAACAGACATAGCTTCGCATTAGGACAAACAGAAACAATTTAAGGACAGACATTGCTTTGTTTTTAACATAAAGAAAAAATTTTAGGACGGACATAGCATTGTTTTAGGACAAACAGAAACAATTTTAGGACATACAGAAACAATTTTAGGACTGATATAAGCTTGTTTTAAGACATGTAGAGACATTTTTAGGACAGTCATGGTTTTTATAGGACAAACAGGCACACTTTTAGGACAGACATAAGCTTTTTTAAAGGACCAGCAAACAAATTTAATGACGGATTCAGCATTTTTTTTAGGCAATTACACATTTTAATTAGGAATGGGTATGCTATTGAGTTAGGGCAATCAAAAAACCTTTAGGAAGGACATTTAACATTATTTAAAGACTTATAGAACATCTTTTTAGGGCGAACTCATCAACTTAAAGGCCGGATATTAAATAGTAAAACTTTGAATTTTAGGACACAAATTAGGACAAACAAGCATAATTTTAGGACAGGAATTAGGATAACAAGCATAATTTTAGGACAGGAATTATGACAAAGAATCATAATTTTAGGACAGGAATTAGGACAAACAAGCATAATTTTAGGACGGGCATGAAATAAGTTTTAAAAAGTACAAACGTACTTCTTGAAGGAGAGGTAATTTTTACTGGGACGGTGTCCAGTTGTCACATGTCCGATTCACAATGGTGTCTTCTAAGCTTTTATCTGAGAATATCAATGAGGAAAATATTTTACTAGATATTTTATTTTCCTTCTGCTGCGCATAAATCCGCAAGTTATTTTAACAACAGAGAAACCACCATTAAACGTCATCAATTTTTAAATTGAAAACAAGAATATCTCAATCATTTTCTCAGACAACAAGGTCTAAGAATATTGTGAATTTGAAAATGTTTTAATGTAAAACCTCCTGAAATTACATTAAAGCAAAATATACATTTTAGTGGCAAAACATACTCTTTCTATGCCGGGGATTACGGACCAAATATTTTTGGAAAAATCACAATTTTAAGACGGAAAATAACACATATCAGTCTTGTTGACTGTGTTAACTTGCTGAGAATAAAAGCTAAAAAGAAATTTGCACAAAATGCATTTTGTTGCCAATTAAGTTTGATGAGGGTTTTCGCGTACTTAACTATTTTGCACGTTTATAACATTAACGTAATAAGCTTTATTACATACTTCATAGAAAACTCCTGCATTTATGAGAGAAAACATTTAATGTCACTCAAATAAACTCCAGAGTTGCAAATATATTTAACACTATTGTTGAAAGTTAGAATAAAATGAATGAAAATTTGACTGAATCATAATACGACTTTAAGTAAACATATAGGAATTGAGTCTTCCCCACAAACTCTTATTTTGTAATCGCTATATATTTGAAATCTTTGATATTTCAAACCATGAATTACGTCAAATTTTTGAAATTTTAAAAATTTACAACATTGGGTTGCGAAAATATAGAATTTGGGCCATGACTTAATTCTTTATAAAATAATTTGTTGTCAAGATCAAATTTGCCAAGAGTTGTTTGAGGAATTGAGATATTTTAGTCCCTATATCTTTGGAACCCAATGTTGTATAACTTACATATTTCAAACTATGAATTCTGCTAGATCAAAAAATACAGATTTGAAATAGCAATGGATTACATTAACCGGTTGCAAAGGGATTAGAATATCAGAGTTTGTGGCAAAGACTCAATTTCTTTTGCCTGTAATAAAATACTGAAGAGTTGACGAAAAAGTAAATCTGAACATTTGAATATTTTTATTAAACAAATTCAATGAGTCGACATTCGAATATTTTAACAAACATGACGGAAGAATGAAGAAAAAAGATAGCTTTAAAAGAAGTTTAAAGAGCTTAAAAAAGTTAAATCAAGCATTTAATCCAATTTTATGCTTTGGCAGTGGCACACAACTTAACTTAGAAATTCACTTAAAACTCTGTTGATCAAGATTTAAACAGCATTTTGTTCCCTCCATCAAATTTAAGAAGGCAAAATATGTTAAAACTCAATTTCAAAATTATAATCTAATAGAAATAATAAATGACTATAATAAACTTATAAGGGTTGTATTCAGTATTTAATTTTAGAATCAGTTGTAATTTAAAATACAATTCTTTTAACATTAAAAAGACGATTGATTTCCTTGTGCACTAATACTTTGCATTTCTTCACTGTGTGCGCGGCATACATCCGTGCTTTGTGCACGGTGGGAACAAACTGACGGGAGCAACACTTGAGCGCGTAGTTTGGATGAGAACTGCGCGCAACAATATACTTTCTATGAGCTCGCTCACCGGATACTATAGAATTCAGATCTAGAATATTTGGGTTAGATTTAGATCCATAAACTGACCATTTTGGTAACAAGTTAAATTCTTATTTATTTAAAAATCCACATTTTCACAAATTACAAAGACGATATTTAATTTTAATGATGTATCTTAACTGCGTCTGGTGTTTTTTTTTTATTTTTCAAGATTTCTTCTTTAAAGCCCACATTATTTCTCATGAAAACTAGCTCAGAAAATAAAATAAACAAAATTTAAAATGATAGGGTTTAAAAAGGACAGAATCAAAATAGGAATAGTAGGACGGATAAGCATAGAACGGAATCGAAGAAGTTGACAGAACAAAGCAGGACGAAGTAGCACAAAGAAGGATAAATCAGGTCAAAGCAGGAAAAGACAGGACAAAGCAGAAACGAGCAGGACAGGACTATAGAACAGGACAAGACATGACAAGACATGACAATGACAAGACAGGACAAGACAGGAAAAGACAGGACAAGACAGGACAAGACAGGACAAGACAAGACAAGACAGGACAAGACATGACAAGACAGGACAAGACAGGACAAGACAGGGCAAGACAGGGCAAGACAGGATAAGACAGAATAAGACAGGACAAGACATGACAAGACATGACAAGACATGACAAGACAGGAAAAGACAGGACAAGACAGGACAAGATTCTTTACTCACTGTTAAAGGTTAAAATTAGTATCACATCTAAGGGTTAAATTCCACAATGTAAACATCACTGATCTTAACTCCGATAATGTATTGAAACAACAAGACCAGGATCTTCTTAGAAATTCATGGATACAAATTCTTGAATATAGATTCTTGGATACAAATTCATGGATACAAATTCTTGAATACAAATTCTTGGATACAAATTCTGGGATACAAATTTTTGGATACAAATTCTGGGACAAACATTTTGGGATACCAATTCTTCTATACAGATTTTAGGATACTTAAATTCTTGTATTGAAATTTAAAGATTCTTGGATACAAATTCTTGATTAAAGATCATAAAATAAAAATTTCTCGAATTCAAATTCTTAAATACAAATATTGGATTCAAATTCTTGAATACAAATTTTTGGCTACAAATTCTTAAATACAAATATTGGATTCAATTTCTTTAAAACAAATATTGGATTCAAATTCTTGATATTGGATACAAATTCTTTGATATAAATTCTTGGATATAGATTCTTTGATACAAATTCATAAATAAAGATTTTAAGATACAATATTTTGGATGCAAATTGTTAGATACAAGTTCATAAAAGTTCTTGTATACAGATGCATGGGTAAAAGTTCTAGAATCAAGAATTAGATACACATTTTAACTTCTTCTATCTGTATCTTTATTTTTTGTCTTTGTCTGTTTCTTTGTTTGTCTGTTTGTTTGTATCCAATAAACGTCAAAACGGTTGTAACGATCGGGCCTAAATTTTGTGTCACTTGACCCCAGGGAAGGTTTATGGATGATCAAATTTTCAAAAATTTACCTCTAACAAAATTATATTTTGAAAATTTTGTAAATGTAATTTTTTTTTAAAAATCCGCAAAGTTTTTGGTTTTACAATGTTTAGAAAGAGAAAATTTACACAATTGAAATAGAAGATTAAACAAAGCGCCCTAAAAGCCTAGTTTTTCAAATTTAGAATCGTTCAAATGGAAATGGAATATTCTTTCTGATATGAATTGAAACCTCAAGCATAAACTTTAAATGTTAATTTTATTTTTGAATATGAACTGAAAGAAAGTACAAAGGAAAAATAAGAAAATAACACGACTTTCATTAGAATAACCACTTGACACCAGTACTTCAGTATTTAAAGGGATGTGCACATTTCCGCACAAAATACTAAGATGTGCAATTATTTGCAACAAACGTGCCAATTATCCTGATCTCTGATTTCTAGATTTGCAAAAAAGAAAGTTTGGCGTTTAATTCTTCTGAATGGTAACATGGCGTCCTAAAAATATAAAAATTTCAGATTTTTTTTTCGTTTAAATGTGTACTGTAGATATTATTTCATTTTCATTGAAATCAAAATTTAAGTTTATTGACTCATATGTACTCAAAGTCTGATTGTTGTCCTTGTTTTAGCCAACACCCTGTAAAACAGTAAAAGATTGCATATATCGATTTTGGGCATTTCTCTCTCTCTCTTGAACTCTCTCTAAACTACAGTTTTAACTTTCACTGAAACCCTTTAAACTAATTGAACTAGAAAATTCTCGTTGCCTTTTTGCAGATGGGTCAACTTTCTTCTTAATTTCGCTTTCACTCGCACAAATAGTTATATATATATATATATATGTTAAAGGGATTATAAACGTAGTTTTAGGGACCCTCCATACAAAGATGACATTGCCCGATTCACAAATGGGGAATATGTTGTCATTTTTCTAGTTTTAAAGTTAATAAATCTGATAATTCCTCCATTGTTT